ATCCATCCATCCATTCATTGTGTCAAGCACATTTGTACATTTGTTGCCATCATCATTCTCAAAACATTTGCTTTCTATTTGAGCCCTTGATATCAGCATCTCATTTCCCCCCTCCTTCCCTGTTCCCCCTCCCTCATGAACCCTTGATAATTTATAAATTATTATTTTGTCATATCGTACACTGTCCAACATCTCCCTTCACCCACTTTTCTGTTGTGAGTTTCTAGATGTTATTCTCTATCATAATGGGTCTGTTGAAGTTTTCTCTTTTTGTCTGTGTTTTGGGATAGATGTTGTATTTCTAGGTATTTGTCCATCACTTCTAGGTTACCAAATTTGGAGTATAGCCTTTTTAAAGTCCTGTGTTATTATTCTTTTTATTTCAGTTGAGTCTGCTGTGATGTCACCCCTTTCATCTATAATTAATTCTATGTATTTGGTGCTTCTCTCTTTTTTCCCTTTTTTCTGCTTGAATCTCTGTGATTTCTTTTCTTCTGTTGCTCAAGGGTGTGTTGTCCTTGTTCTACTTAGAGATGTTGTGTTAAGGCATTGAGTTTTCTCCATTTTTATTCATGCATGCATTGGTTGCTAAAATTGCCCTTTGATAATTGTTTTGGCTGTGTCCCAAAGGTTTTGGTATGTTGTGTCATCATTGTTTCATGAATTTCATTTTGTCCCTTATTTTGTCTATTGCCCATTCATTTTTAAAGTAGTATGTTTTTCAGCCTCATGTGTTTGTCTTTATGCTCTTGTTCTTCTGTTGTTGATTTCCAGTTTTAAACATTGTGACCTGAGAGAGTGGGTTGCAAAATCTCAATGTATTTGACTTTGTGCAGGCTTGTTTATGGTCTGCATGTGATCTACTTTAGAGGATACCCAGAACCATCACCAGTCTGACAGTTTGTTGTAGTTTCTTCTGAGAAGTCTGAGCTTATCCTTATCAGTTTTATATTTAAAAAAGTCCCGAGGAAAAAACCACTGGCAATATTAAAATAAGCCAGAGAGCAAACCTCTGTTGAGAAACAAGCAAGGAATATTTAAACCTAGAACAAATCCAAAATGAGTCGAGAGGGAACTCAAACAACCAGTTATCATATTATACTGTGGTTATATCCACCATAATCAAATTTACAATAATCTCTGTCTCAAAGCCAGGCTTTTTGAGTCCCTGACTGTGGTCAGAGGGTATCTGCCTGATGCTTAATCAGTTTAGGGTACTCTACAGATAGATTTTGGCTCCCACTGTCATCCATAGGCTTCTGTAAACTGAGTGTTCACCTACACTCATTTCTTGCTGTAGTATAAATGATGAATACCAAGCCAAAAGTGACACTATTTTACAACATCAAATTTTTCACTTCTGCAGATCACATAAATAACACTTTATGGCAGTACTGTCATAGTACTAATTTCTGCACTTTGAAAATTATTTTTGCAAACTTTACATAATAGTGAAATATTTAATTTGCGATTTCTTTACCAAAATGACCTTCCAAGTAGGGGACATGACAAATCACTTGGCACATTTTCCCTCTGTTGGACATATGTATCTTCAAACAACACTTAACTGATGTGGATGAGAAGATCAGGAGTGGAATCTACAGACAAACCTAAATATCAACCTCTTTATTTCACTGAAAATGGTTGGCCAAATGTTATCATTTAAAATTTTTATTAATTTTCATGTGTGGTCTTAGACATATATGATAATTGCCCTTTTCTGTGCTACCATATTTTAAGATAGGATTGCTAAAACTGTATCAAATTGAGCAACAAGTGCAAATAAGCCAAAAAAACACAAACATTTTGTGGAGATTCAAATACTTTATTTCTTTCTTGGAAATATGTTAATGTTCAATTAGTGTCATTAATAACAGCAACAGCACATTGCATAATGACTTTGCAGTACTGATATTCTCCATTAATTTGTATTTCCAGCTTATGAGTTATGCCAATACATTCTCTGTAAATTGAACTGTTTCATGTGTAGTAATCATATCAATCACTAAATGTCTGTAGCAACTTGAGAATCAAATGATCTAAGACCACAGTTTGCAAGCAAAACTATATACAGAGTTGGCTGACTGATAATACAGTAGTCAGTACCTCTTATAATTTTTACCATTAGCTTGCATCCTATAAAACATATATTCTGGTTGTATAACCTGGTTTGTTTACCATCCTCCCAAATTTGACATCCAGAATTTTTAAGTAGTGCTCTGTGATGTTGATAATCACTTGATCTTCTTTTGATCTAAAAGTCTACATCATTGGAAGAACATTACTTTACAAAGCAGAAGCTGTTTTTTAAAAAATTATTTTTTTTGAAATAATACTTATAAACTTGTGTTCTCAAAAAAACGAGGAGCTTATACCAAAGATTCAAGTAGAAAGCAAATGTTTTGAGAATAATGAGGGCGACAAATGTACAAATGTGCTTGACACAATGGATGCATATATGGATTTTGATAAGAGTTGTACGAGCCCCCAATAAAACGATAAAAAAATAAATAAACAAACTGTGTTCTCACTTTGTACCCTTTGGAGCTGCATATCCACAGCGTACTGAACTC